GCCTGCACAAGTTCAATGGACGGGATAATGAATACTCTGAATGGAAACACACGACGCGAAGGACTCTGGCCTTGTATCGGCCAGATATCAACAAACTTCTGGGCGATAGTTGGAGACCGCGTCCTATGTACGAACTACATGACGAGCAAGATGATGGAGATCAAGAAGATGGAGATCAAGTCTGGAGACCAAGAACATGAAGATGGTGAAGATGGTGAAGATCGAGATGGACAGGACGCAGCTTATGAAGACGCTTTACAAAAGTTGGGTTCAGCAGAGTCAGCCGCTTTGGAAGCTCGACAGAAGGCGGACATCGCACAGAAAGCGATTGATGATGCTAACGAAGAACATACGCACATCACAAGAGCCATGCAAGAATCGGCGGATACTACTGCGCAACTCGCAACTCAAGCCGAGACCATTGCTCAATNATGGTGAAGATCGAGATGGACAGGACGCAGCTTATGAAGACGCTTTACAAAAGTTGGGTTCAGCAGAGTCAGCCGCTCTGGAAGTTCGACAGAAGGCGGACATCGCACAGAAAGCGATTGATTGATGATGCTAACGAAGAACATACATACGCACATCACAAGAGCCATGCAAGAATCGGCGGATACTACTGCGCAACTCGCAACTCAAGCCGAGACCATTGCTCAATCAATCAAGGATCAACTACCACGAAAGCGCTCTTCACAAGGACGACAGGGATCACGTGAGAGGTCCACAACTCGTCGGTCTTCATTAACGGGACGTTCCCGTACTGTCGTGAATCAGCAAGAACTGGACGACTACGCAGANTTGGACGACTACGCAGAGGCCGACTCTAAGTTTTTCAATATACTGTATCATGTATTATTTGACAGTTTCGGACCAAAAAAAAAATTATTAAAGGAAATATTTTTCCAGGATCGTTCCCCGACAGTCTCGCCAGAACCCGAAATAAGGAAAAAATATTTCGATTCTAGAGCGGAGCGAGGCTCGTTTTGTGGAAAATTTTGCCAAGAAAACTATTGAAGCAACTTTCTTCGAAACAACACACCCACACCAGCCACCACCACCACAACAGACCCGCACGCACACACAGCAGTCTGCTACGAACATGTCCAGTAACCGCCCAAAGAGAAGGCCAGCGCCCAGCGCAAAGGCCCTGGATCTGGCGCGCGACGAGGTTACCAGGAGGGAGGTGGCACGGGCAGCCTGTCGGGTGGGCTTTGCGGCTCTAGACTAGGCCAGCAGCACGCCCGAGACCTCGAGGCAGGGGGAGGAGAGGAGCAAGCGGCCGGGCGAGGCGACGACGATGTCCAAGTCGTGGCAGCACCAGCAGCAAAGCAGGCTAGGGTTAGGAAGAAGAGCACGAAGTGGCCTCCTACTTACGACTTGGCGCTGGCAAGGGCGGGTGAGTCTTTCCCCGCGCAACGGTTATGTTATGATTTTCTAGAGAGAGGCGGTTTGTTGGCTTGGATGTGTTCCCTCCCCAAACCCCACCCCCATACGCTCCGAACGCGACACAGCACTGCAGGAGCAGCCGGCCACAGCAGTGGTATACGTACTTGCTGTCTCCGTACTGGTGCGATTTCCTGTGCTGGAGTTAGTTGTTTCCTTTGCTGGGGTTGAGAGAGCGACCCATGTTCGCGCGCACACATGCACGCTGTTCTTGAACTGCTGTAAAAGAGACAGCCACTTCGAACCAGATTATTGATCCTTGGCAACGAGGGTGCAACGAGTGCACAACATATACGAAAGATTCAATCGAATAGCAGCGGAGTAGGGTAGGAACACAAAGCTATATTCGGTGTTCGTAGGGGAGATACAAGTCTTGCTTGGCGAAGAAGCTGATACTTTCTTGCACTGGTTCCGACGTGGAAAAAATACACGTCACGTCACATGTGGCATCATGTTTAAAATTTAAAAGCAGCGACGAGTTGTCTGGGCGTACAAAGCCGCTGCATCTCCCAGTAGATGCAGTCTACTTGCAAGGAATGTCACATGTCGCCTTTAGATGGAACCAGCAGGACAAAGGTGAACTCAAAATTGTAAGCGCAAGGTGTACTCGACTAGTACATTTTCGCTACACAACGGCACATAGCCCAGATATTATGGTGGGCGCGGATCCGCTGCTGCGTCCCACAGGTTAGGCAGTCTACCCGTGGCACATCATGTTGCATCATGTTATAAGGGGTTGCCCGCAGCGTTACTTATCCTGCATCCCGCTGTCGCCACAGTAGATGCAGTCTACCCGAAAGAATTTCGAAACAACTACTGCGAAGCACCGCGGACCCGGTGCAGTTGACAACAAGCGCAATAGTCATTCCATTGCGCTGCAAGACGGCCGGTGTTCACGGACTCGTTTACTGGCGATACCTATGCTCCCTCCTCCACTCAAAACGCACATGTATCTGGTGTAAAAATGGAGCCGAAGCAAGTCCCCACTACGACATTCGAAGGCGCTCCCACCCTTCTTGTCCTCTACAGGTCTGCAGCACGAAGTGTGGAAAGTGAATGGGAGCGGGCGTTCGGTCGGCGAAAGGTGGGACGCCTGCTGGAAGACTCTCAACCGGGAGCCCTTGGTCAGGATGTTCAAGGAGAAGTCGTCTTCAATTTGCAAGCATCGCTACGACAAGATCGTTGACGACCAGAGCAAGAGCGATGGTAAAGCCCTGCGGGACTCCGGAGCCGGCACTGCTGAGAGTGGCTCGGAGGACGACGTAGAGAAGAATACCAAGGTCCAGCTGGTGAGGGGTCCAGAGCCAGTAAGCTATCTCTACCTTTTGTGACGGGCGCAAGCCTGAGTGTACACGATCATGGCACAGTCGAAACAAGACGGGCACGAAGAGCTGCACATGGAGAATCCACAATCCATAGAGTATCGTGAAACACCTGCGCTGTCCCGACCGAAGAAAATTCCTGCCGTCCTCACCAACGTTTCACTTGCAGATAAGAGGGGTACGCACAGGGCTAGCCGTAAGCAACTGAAAATGCGCAGCATGGCAAAAGAAAGACAAAAGTAGATAGACAGCACAAAAGCCCGAGTGCTACACGCCAGGCGACGCAAAACGTGCAGAGAGTTAGCTTGCTGAGACGGTCCTTCACCCACAAAATCAAAACATCACTCCCACTCTGTATTGTCTAGGGGCGTGACGTAGCAGTGTTGACACGGAAGTACAAAACAGACGATGCATATAGCTATCGCCGACGCTAGTGATGCACTTTGTAAGTCGTAGAGCTGACGAGATGCCGCGCCGCTGTTGCTTCTTGTCCGCGATGTGCCGCACAGGACAAAGTTCTGACCGCGATAGTGGACGCGAAGGCTGCCGCGAGGCATGACTCGGAGGAGACCAAGCAGAAGAAAGCCGACCAGGCGGCCTCGCACTCCGCGATGGGGATGTGGGCCATCAACCAGGGCAACGCCCGATGCGGGCCGGGCGCGAAGGCTACATCATTCCAAGAAGCTCTTGCCGCCGACAAATCGCGTTGGGTTCCCGCTCCGGTGCAGTGGACGGTGGCCGTTCCAGCGGTCGGGTGAGTCCGGCCAGCAGCATCGGGGGGGCGAGGCCCGCGTCGGAGGCTTCGGCGGGTGGCGCTGCCAGCGGTCGATCGAGCCCGACCATGAGTACGGGCGGGCTAGACGACGACTTCTCGCCCGCGGGGAGCGGGCCATCGAGGAAGGTTCCACCGCTTGGCGACTTGGTGAAGCACATGGGGTCGCTGACCATTCCGATGCTTGCGGAAAGTGCCGGGGTCACCACGGAGGAGGCGGACTACTTCCTCAACACGGGCTTCACGCCCGACGAAGTTCAGCCGGAAAGGGCCGTGGCCATGATGGTGGTACTACTCGACGCAAGGCTTTGTATCCAGCGCGACGGAGACAGCGTCCAGCAGTACATGGATCGTCTTGGTGAAGAGGATTGTGAGCTGCCCGGGTTTGATGGGTTTGACGAGTCGGTCATGTTTAAACTGCTCGAGCTCTCCGGCGTGGAAAAAATGGACTTCCACAGCCTGCCGGATGCGAATTGGTTTCACGGCGGATGGCCGATAGATCGTGTTACGCCGGACAAGGTGCTTCAGGTTACGAAGCGGGTGGCTTCGTTGTTGGTGCTCGGCGCCGGCGTGACGAACTCCTGGCTGTCCGCCGCCGGTCAGACATCCAGGCCCGGTTCTGCAAGAGTGGGGGGTGCGCACGCCATGTCAGGCAGCCACGCTTCAGGGGGGGCGAGTGGACCTTCGGGAAACCGTGGAAGGAAGCCCCGTGCCAAGACCATTAAGCTCGCCGAGGATGGGCTAGATAGGTAAGGTTGTTCGTCGACTCTGCCCGTGTCTTGGTTCTCTATTTCCTTCGTGTGGTATACGCTGTGCATTATTGTTAGATTCTTTTGGTGGACGTAACCTGTACCAGAGAAGTGTCGTAGCAGTAATATTGTTGGCTACTCCATCAGGGAGGTGCCAGAGCTTATCCTACCCTGGTGTCTCTCTTGCGCCGTTGTGCCACGTGTCCCAGCTTCATGGAGCGACAGGTGGCTGACGCTCGGTCACTCGCCGATCAGAGACGTGAAGAGGACGAGAGGAGGTGGGCGGCGGAAGCTAAACGAGAGGTAGGGAGGAGGCAGGAGCTCCTGGACATGATGGCCCACGAGAGGGCAATGCGGGAAGATGAAAGGAAACACGACAGACAAGAGCGTGAAAGGGAGAGGGCGACTGCACGGGCAGAGCAAAAGGAAGATCGTGATCACCAAATCAGGATGATGCAACTCCAGGTAGACCTGGCGAAGGCGAAGGGCAACAATAACTAGCTAACTGGTTGGGGTTGCTGTTGCTGCAGTTGCTAGGGCATGCGTTGCATGTGTTTTTTTTTTTCAACAGCAGGCTCTTCAAAAAAAAATCGTGGCATCCGTTGCGCCTTGCGCGTTTTTTTCGGGGGGGCTTGCCTGTTCGGGGTAGGGAAAAATGGGAATGGGTTTTCGCCCTTGCTGCTGCTGCAGTTGCTAGGGCATACGTTGCATGTGTTTTTTTTTCAACAGTAGGCTCTTCAAAAAATAATCGTGGCATCCGTTGCGCCTTGCGCGTTTTTTTCGGGGGGGCTTGCCTGTTCGGGG